CGGGAAGCGATTTTCAATATGTATATTTTTTTATACCGGGCTTACAAAAACCTGTTATACTAGAAATCTCCTGAATGAAAATGTCCAAAAACAATTTAACAGTTTCATATGGCATTGGATATTATGGATTTGTCGTTTTGGGAAAGGATTTTTATTTTTTTAAATTTATTTTTTAGAGCGTTTCCGGAGGTTGGCGATTGCGCAGGATGGGATTTCAAATTTTGTTTATATATATCGTGCTTACAAAGACCTGTTATACTGGGATTTTCCTACACSAAAAAGTCCAAAAACAAGTTCAACAGTTTCATATGGGATTGAGTATTATGAATATTTTGTTTGTCAAAAGATTTCTATTTTTAACTACATTTTTTAAAAGCGTTTTTGGATACATATCTTGTCATCTTGTTCGATTTGCGGCAAGCGATTTCAATAATTTTGTATATTTTTTCAGTTATATTAAATCAATGGTGTTAAAAGTGAAGGAGTTTTCTAGGCTGCGGTCTACTGTTTTGACACTTTTCTATATTTTTCTGCTTGTTTTTAATAAAACTTACATGAATTAACAACACCTCTTATAATGCGCAAAAATACTGCGTTGACAAAAGTTTGGGAAAACTTTGAAAGAGGAGTTTGAAAATAAAAGGACGAAAAGTTCCAGTCTGTGTGCTATAGTTTCTCGCAGGTCAAGGTTTTGCGCGAAACTTAGGGAATGTATCCAAAAAATGATACCTAATTCTATAAAGCTCTATAAGAATTCAATTTTCTTTTTAAAAAAAAGAATTTGAATTTTTATTTAGACCAAATGATAATTTTACCACAGGGACCCCAAAGTCACTTCAGATAACCACAGGTATCCCGTAAATAGTTCCGGGGGTGGGGTTAACTAGAGGATCACATGGTTTTTATTGCGCTAGAGTTAACCTTTTGATGTGGCAACAAAAATCCTACGAACTCCCCCCTCCCTAGCTAGGGATAAGCAGCGATCAGTTGTGTATGTTATGCATATTAAACAAACACCGAAATACACCAAATAAACTTAATTGGAGAGTGACAAACCTGCAGATGTTTTGTAAACATGACGTACCAGGCATCTAGGTGTTGAATCCAGCCAGATTCTTGACTTATTCCGTGTTCCATCGTCGTTTCTTTGCTCGATCATATCATCGACATGGAGGACAACACAATAAATCTTTCTCGAGATACAGTTCAGTGCTTAACAAATGTAAATTTATTTACCAATAGCTTTTTTTTCATTGGACTATTGAACAATAAGTAATGTATCTTGGGAAACGCCTATTATGCGCTCCAGAAATTTAACCCGAGATAAAAGGAATGCTCTTGAGCATTTTTATTTCTTGYTGAATATATCCTTTTGTTCCCAATTTCTGTAAAAGTTATCACTCAATATAATAGAGGGATTTTACTGGGCCCGTGAAAAGAATAGTTAGCATATATAGTATACACTAATTCCATTGTTTTCTTTCGTTTTGCTTGGACTGTTAGTCTCTCATCATCCAACCTTGTTTCACGGGCCAAGAAAGATCACTCTGGGGCAAGGTGGAGTCG